GCAGGTTCTGTGACAAATACCAAGAAACAATAGACCATCTAATCGGATGTTCTATACTGAAAATGAATATAAAAAAATAGAGTGGGGCAATAACACTGGACAATGTGCAAACACTTTGGAAAATGTCAAACACTGAAAACATCGGCCATATTGTCACCATTCTTGGGATTATACCATCCAAAGACAGAAAAATTGAAGCAAATAGGCTTCATTATTGTCAAAAACCAGAAAGAAAAAAAATTGCTCTAATTGATTGGTTTATCCAGCGGAAGAATAAAAATAATATTTTACAAAGACCTGGAAATTGAAATAGAAAAAATGTGGAAATTGAAAACAAGAATTTTTTAATGGTATTGGTGCACTTGGAATTATAAAAAATGGAACAAAACAACACATTGAAAGAATGCAAACCCCAGCTAAGAGAACATAAAAAATTGAAAAGGACACATCTCAGAGAGAACTTTGTCTATGTAACGCTAAAAAAAAAAAAAAAAAAAAAAAAAAATTAACATGAAATAAAATTACACACCACGACCTGCCTTTAGTTTTCCGCAGACTTGAGATGTGTCCATAGCAGAAATCGAATGATGATGATGATGAAATGACAATTTAATAATCAAAATTATAAATTTTATTAGCATGCAACTATTTTCCTGCCGGAAATCACACGTCGCTTGCTCCATACGAATTGCAATTAAAAGTTAGTGCAACTGATGTCCTCATACTTAATCTCAATCCGAAGAAGGGACAATGGGACAAGTCTCAATGGGACAAGACTAATTGTTAGAACTTTAGGAGTGCAGAACATAAAAGATTTTTATACCTAGAATTAATTTAGATATTTTATTCTGTTAGAAGAGATTTTCCTGATGAAGGTATTACAGGAAACTTGATCACAGTCATTCGACACCATAGGGATATACTTGTAAATTTTCAGTTATGAAAAGTTTTACGCTTCTCTTAGGTCGAAAAATTAGCAACGATAGAAACGTCGTGAATATAGCAACAAATATGAGGATAACAGTTCGATCAAGTCAAAATGAAACTAAAATATTTATCTTGGAACTTGAAAAAGAAACCTTCTAGCTCAGTTTAATTTGAAGAATAAAAATATATTTTATATAAGATTTTTTTAATGATTGTTAATCAGTCGTGCATAGAACTAAAATGAAAAGGAACATCTCAGAGAGGAAGTTAAAATTAATTAAAAATTATTTCTAAGTTGTGAGATGCTGTTATTAGCTTAAAATACTTTTATAACTAATTTATTAATCTATTTTGCTAAAACTTTCATACGCTAAGCTATCAGAAACTGAAATATTGAAATTTTAGTATATGTTTAGTGATGATATTTGATCATTGATTCCAGTTAATTCAATTGCTCTCATGATTATTACCGAGATGTATCAATAAGTGTGAAGACAGACTGGTAATTTTTTTGATCCCTGTCACCCAATAAAAGGCAATAAAGCCACTAAGACACAAGGGGTTACAAGATGTGGAAGAATTAGGAACAAAAACTAATAATGAGCGGCAAGAGGAAGAGGAGGACAGTAAATAGCAATTGGCATTGCATTTAATGTTTTATAGCTAAAAGTTGCCTGGAAAGCATTGATCGGGAAGAGAGTGCCACAAACGATATGCGAGAAAAGAAACTGTTAGCATGAAATTTACGGTTACATCTAGCCAGCTCAACTGTAAATTGATGAAATATCGACACCAGTCTAGTACTGTGCTTAAATTTAATAAGTCTAGGTACCATAGCGAAGAGCATTATTTATTCGTAAAATTACAAGATATGGCACAAGGCCAAAATGAGGAATGGAGGAAAAAGGATGGTCTTCTGTCTTAATATTAAACTTAGCTAGCCACAATCACTGACCCAAACATACGACAATATCGCGTTCATTAATAGAACGCTTCCTCACTTACCATTCTTAAAACATCCACAATAATGCTTCAATGTCTCTATGAAAATCCTAACCAGTCCCCATATGCATAATTCAAGACTGTGGAGGGGAGGAGAATAAAATAACAAGCGAAGTGCTCATCTGAAGAATGACCATGAAAGCATTTTTAGAAGGGGCATAAGGAGTCAAACTAACGGCGGTGGGAAAGTGACTGAAGCTGAGCTGCCAAAATAGCACCATTAATATTGTATTTTCTATTTTGAATTTTATCAAGACGCTCAAGGGGCGCCGGGTTATATGTGATAGCAATATTTTAAGAATGGACAAATGGTAGACCTATAAATATTTATGATAGATTCTGGAAAAAAAGATTGTCTCAGACGACAGAGTGAATCAACTTTCTTAGTAGCTGAATCAATGGATTCAATATTGTCTTTCCACTTCATGTCAGCTAAGAACGTTAGCCCGAGAAGGTGCAACGAGTCATTTTCCTGGAGGTTAGCATCAGCCATACTGAGGGAAGACAGAGAGGTGTCTCTTAGATGATTAATGAAATTTTATATGCAATTTACATCGTATAATGTTCGATCTACGTGTTCAATGTTCATCACTGAATTTAATATATAGACAAGGAAGATTATTCTGAAAAAAATATTTATCATGTAAAATTAATTTTGTTTTCTCATGATTACGCTAAAGACTTACTAATATATCTACATGAATATTAGCATTCTATATTTCTGTTTGAAATGCTAAATAGGACATTTTGACTTTTGGTTGTATATGCTGTTAGTATTTTCTCTTCGGTATTATATTTTAATTTTATATCATCATCATGTTTGTCCTTCGGTTTTGAAAAAAGATGTCTTTTAATTAATCAGTGAATTCGCATAAATTTTCAAAACAGACCCCACAGTGAAGAATTTATAGTGTTAAAATTGTTGCTCTGGGATAATATAACTGTCTCGGCCAAGGTTGTTTTTGAACGGTTACAACCAGCAGATAACCAGGATTTTTACGTCCGTGCTTTGATGCACCCGACATCACTTGCTGACACCGCCTTCATCACTGAAGGAGATCTTATCCGCCCACTCCACCGTGAATAAGGTTTCATGTGCAATAGAGCTGAAATACCCGAAATTATCGAATTTGAACTCCTCTTTTTCACTGACCTGATTTGCTCACCACTCGAAGCAGTGGCGCTACTGCATGCAAACAGATATTTGGAGCCTCAGATCACGGTTGACACCGGCTCGAAATCAGCGCGAACGAACGACTCTAAAGGAGTAAAACTCTTTCTCCGTCGGAGGCACTACCTCTCCCTGACACCCCAGCAAATATATTATAATACATAATATAAATTCTGTATTATAATATAATATAATAATTGATATGGATTATAATTTTAGTATTAATATAATCTAATTTTCGGTATGTATGTATGTGAAGCGCTGTGGTTTATGCAGGAGGAAATGTTTTTACGGAGTGAAGTTGTTAACACCATATGAAATCTGCTCTGAATTAAAACGTTTTTTTCGCATATAATGTTTGCCAAACAAATATAGAGATCACACACATCTCTGCTATTAAACCCTAGAGAGAGAGGAGAAAAGAAGAATTCATATCTTTCCATGGCTATTTACGGGGTACGGTGTGAAATTTGTCGCCATTTTATTTTTTAATTTCGCGCATGTGTGTCCATTGTTTTTGATTTTGCCAGCTGCACAGTTTAATAGGGTCAATTGGGAACCGTCTGTGAGAAAAGGAGCACCATGACGCAATTCAATCCTCCAGAAATTTGCAAAGGGCATGATGTATTGGTTGATTGTCGCGCTGGTAACTCCAATAAAATAAAAAAAAACAAACATTTCAAATTGTTTGGGTGTCAATCTGAGGACAATGCTGAGGATTCGGAACGAATTTAATGGGTCTAATGGTGATTACGAAGTTATTTGATGTGATCAGTAGTGATGGCAAACTTATGCCTCAGTTCATGTTCCCACTCAACACGGATGCCTGCAAGTTCCCTGAGGAGGTAGTACTGTCCTGGGTCAAGAGGATGGCTACTGGAAGACCATATGTCAGGAAACAGGACTTTTAACCATGCCACACAAGCAGGAAAACCCAGTCATGGCTGCAGGCAAATTTTTGCAACTACATCACCCACTGCATCTGGTCACCTAAATCCCCAAACTGCAACCCACTAAATTATTATGTGTGAGGCGCATCTGCGCTTGAGAGCAACAGAACTCCTTGTTACACCAAAGTGAACTGAATGCAAGGATTATGGCATCATTTACCAACTTAAACAAGGAACCGTCCAGAAGAGATGCAGCAGAATCTGAAGTCGTCTAGAGGTCGTGGTTGAAGCCAATGGCGATTTTATTGAATAAATTTACTCTTTAGTATTTCAAGATATTTTTGTGTAATTTTAGTAAATTTATCAGTTAAAATGAAATATCAGTTCTATTTTCATTTTTGCGTAATCTAAACGACAGTTTATCCATCGCATGCTTTATGTGAAAGCGAACTGCCCTGGCAGGTTTGGAACTTGACACTACAACCCCATATTTTACTCTGATAAAGGTTACTGTTATCCTACATAGATCACCATGGGATTGAAGTTACTTTTTAATAATCCTCTACGAGGGAAACTCTGAAATTAACGATTCCTGTTTATTGTGACGAGAACTACAACAGATGCAGGGGAGGGGAGCATAATACTGTTGATTAGTACAAGTATTCACGTAGTGATGATTATTTTTCCACAGTGTTAACACCGGTAGCAATGGATTTCGTCTGCCTGCCGCGCTCGTAACAACTGCCCACTAGTGAAGACCTGATTGTTGATTGATCGGGTTTTTACGGCTGATAAACATTTTGCAGGTTATTTAAAGCCAGAAGATATTTTTTAGTTTGTAAGAAATTTTCGTTTTATTAATTAACACATACCTGGGATATAAATGGATTCATACATTTCATAAGTGTATTTTCGAGTAAATGTATATAACGAACTCAACTGAAATTGGAACTCGGGTCTCCGATTAACAATTCCGAGTCGATATCTATTACACCACTTGCACATCCAAGCTTACAGCACCTGGTATTCCTAAGTGGTCACCCATCTACGTACTGACCAAACTCGATTTTGATTACCTTCGATGATCATACGGAAACCGGTGTTTCAACGCTATGTGGCCGTAAGTACTGGTCATAGTTGGTGAAACGCGCATTTTCCTATAGTCACAGCGCTGTTTGGTCTCCATAAACATTCACCAAGCATCGATGAACGAGTGCTGTTTTTTACCGCATGTAGGAATTCAGTGGCATACGTCTGCTTTGTACACATTTGTCAGCTGGCCGTTCAAGAGCTACCTGTCTCTTAGCAAAATAAATTATGGATTAATCCTAGCAATATTGAATCTGAATTGTCGTGATAATCAACTAGGAAGCATTTATTTCGTAGCCATGTTCGTATTTTACGAAACAACATATACAGGTATTTTTTACCAAATAACAACAGAATATCATTCGGAACTTTGAACTGCATTTGTATGAATCTTAGAGTTGACTGTACGCTTGAGTAAGCAAGTAAACACGTTTACGTTGGTTTTGTACTACAAGTAGGGAGCATGATAACAAAACTTAACGTATCCATTGTTCTAGAAGACCTGAGAGAAGAAACGAACCGAATGAAATTCGCAGAACCGTCAATGACGCCTTTTGTATTCCGAATAAAATAGAAGACTCGTACTTCATGGTCTATTGGCTCAAATCATGTTCGACCGGATGACCAAAACCAAAACGTTTACAATTCGCCCAAACATCTGATATCGATCAATGGCCAAAAAACGTCACAAGAATTAGGGCGACGCTTGTTTTCCTTTCGAAAGGAAATGGAAGGTAACACTTTTGCACAATATAATTTCTCCCTCTTATAAATACCAATGTGTATAGAAACATACTGGACTAAAGAGACAGACAGACTAACAGCGCGACAGATAGACAGTCAGGAAGTAAAGGAAAGAGAGAGATAAGGTGAGTGTGAGAGAAGTAGATAGATAAGGAGAGTAAGACCACACGCATGCACACACACACTGAAAAAAAGAGGTTGAAATATTCAACCAGATTCTAATAATTTTTGATCTCCGGATTTTATATATATATATATATATATATATATATATAAATTCATCTGGTTACACTAAATTATATAATGGAGTTTCTGTTTTTGCTTATAGCAAATTGATTGCTTATATCATTTTTTCTAAATTAGTTTAAATCCAATCTTCTTCATTTCTCTCATACTGGCGCATGGGCGCGAACGCACAGACAGGCGCTATAAAACATCAAATTTCACCAATGAAAAATGCATATGAAAAAGAAAAATCGAGACGTTTAGAGCAGTCGATGTCTGATACTCTTTGGCGAGATGACGGAGTAATTCCTGGAGGGTCCGTCTACGAAACTCTGAAGTCGGGATGCTGACGGTAACATAAATGACAAACGTTCTACTTGTATTAATTCTCTTTCTTTCTTTCTTTATATATATGTAGAGAGATAGAGAGAGAGAGAGAGAGAGAGAGAGAGAGAGACAGAGAGAGAGAAAGAGAGATAATACCAATTGGTAATTGGTAGGGATAATTTCAAGGAGGAAATTAATCCAAGATTTCTCAATAACAGAGCAGTATAATAATAAATCAAGAAAAATCCTTAAAAATCCATCTCAGATTTTTAAGGATTTTCTAATTTATATATATATTATTATATATTACACACACACACACACACATATATATATATATATATATATATATATGTGTGTGTGTGTATATATATAATATATATATATATATTATATATGTGTGTGTGTATATAAAAATATATATATATATATATATATATTACACACACACACACACACACACACACACACACACACACACACACACACACACACACATATATATATATATATATATATATATATATATATAAGGTTGTAGCCTCTGTCTGTCCGATTGTTTGTTATCGGACTCCTCCTAGTGTTTTGGATATAGACCGTCATAACCATATATATTCTGAGACTAAATTACTGAGGGTACTTGTATAAGTATATTTCCTTTTGATTAAAGGGAGTCCCTGTGTAGGGAGATGGACACAATCTCTACACTGTAAAAAATTTCCCTTTGATTTAAATTAAATTTACATTTGATGGCTCCTATCCAAAATATAGAAGGAGAAACGCATAAGATTGATGTCATATCGGCAAAGATCATTGAGTAATATTGAAATGCATAATTTTTCTTCAAAAATTATAACAATGATTTAAGATAAATCATCATTTTCTTACAAAAAATGTGTGACAAACATGAAAGCGCGAGTAATTTGGCTAGTTCTCCCAGCAGACGTCTACAGGGACTTTATTTCGAACACATTTCCAAACCTGCTAGAGGACGTACCCCTTCTAATACAAACACGCGCCTGGTTCATGCATGATGGGGCGTCAGCACATTTTTCGCGATGCACTGGCTGACATCTACCATGAAAGATGGATAGGGTAGGTGAGGACTGGTTCTATGCACGTTTCCTCGGATTCAGTCCTTTGAATTTTTATCTGTGAGGTCACCTAAAACAATTGGTTTATGCAGCAGACATGAATAATGCTGAGACTCGTTATCAAACATATCATGGGGGCCTGTGAAACCATTTGACACCATTTGATGTTGGCTGTTTCTTTATTTTTCTATTAATAATGCTTCCATTATTTTTAATCTTTTTTACATCTGAATGAGGCTATTGTATTTTCTACTAGTAGGCTTCGTATGTTATGAGGCTTCGTATTCTCTACTAGTATGTTTAGGATGTTACATCTCTCTGACCATAGCTCAATTAGGTCTCATTTAAATATACACGGTGACTTACCAAACCACTATCCGTAATATACTCACTCACAACACAACCATTATAGCCTCATGCACATGTACAAAAAGGCTGAAACAATGGAAGCATTATTACTGGAAAAAAAGCCAACACTCAATAATATCAAATATGAACAGGTTCACAATGTGCTGACCGTGTTTGTAAAATAAACATTCCTATAACTCTAGATAAATACATAAAAGAATTCATACATTCAGTTAAAATTAAAAATAATATCATTCTTGATAATGGTTAAAAGTATAGCCGAAAGCGCTTGTACAGACAATTTCTACATAATCTACGTCATGAAAAAAAAGAAATTTATAAGAACACAAGACAAATAAATAAAACACTTAACCACAGTACCTTGTCAGTCATTTTAATGAAACTAATATATATATATATATATATATATATATATATATATATATATATATATATATATATATATATATATATATATATGTATATATATATGTATATATATATGATGAATATATATATATATATATATATATATATATATATATATATATATATATATATAATTATTTCCTTTTTTTAAAATATAATTCCACCGTGACACAGAAAATTTCCATGCTTCAAAACTGAAACTGAATTTATAAATTTAACCATTAGAATTGAACTTAAAATCCACCATCACGTTCCATTGTCAAGCTATGATAGGAATAAACTTCCAAAAAAAATCTCCTTAATTTATAAACACAGACAATATTGATTTTATGAGTTGTTAAGGTTAAGGAAAATCTATTTTAATTTAGGGGTGGCTGGGTTTTATTTTCCCTAGACAGCTTATGTTTCCAATATATATTGCTTACAAATTCAGGTTAAGTTTAGGTGGGGTAGGGGTGTCTCCTAACAAAAGTATACTTCCGTTCTTCAGTGAGTCGTCTGTTTTTCAATGATAAAAAGAATTTAGGCATTTTCATTCATCCGTTTAATTCATATTTTTATACAGAAAGACTTTCTGAAAGGGCCATTTAAATATGTGCCAGACATAGATACTTCGATAAAATTTTCTAAAAAGACCATAACATGATGAAAAAAGTGCCTTAAACTTGATGAAAATAAATTTTACTTTCTAAATGTTTATGCTATTATCAAGAGGAAAGATCAAAGTATATTTGTGTCTTTTTACATATTTTAATCACACATACCACGTCTGAAATATTCGTTAATGAGTCAGTATAATTGACAGAAAATCGATCATGTTAACCACATTTTCCATTTTAAAACAAAAATGAAAATCTCGGTTTAAAATTCTTTTAAAAATCGATTATAATTTTTTTTTTAATTTTATTTAAAAAAATAGTAATTATAAGGTTTATTTAAAATATTTTCAAACAAACATTACTTACTTTTTGCGCCGAAAAAATGGTGTCACTTGACAAGTGATGAATGATGCTTTCATCTCGTATTGACAGTTTACGTGAGGGTAAGTTATCGTACGGGAGGACAGAAGAGACATAATTATTTAGATTTAAGTGAGCCAATTATTTACTTCGTTATTTTTAAGGAAAACTTTCAGTTCTCTAATTTTTTTGATTTTCTTTTTTGTACTTAGCTTTGACATTTACGTTTATAATGCTTTATGGAAAATATATTATAAAAAATTAAAATAAGACGGTTGAGAGTGAGATTAAATTTCATAAGAAACGTATCTAAATTAATTTATAAACACTTTTCTTATGGAATTTTATCAGTAGCGTACATAAAATACTATAATTTCATGTACATTTATTACATTTCACTGTGTTATTTGTATTTCCATTAACTTTAGTATTAATTTTGATATTTCATTTACATGTCATAACTGAAATAATAAAAAATAAGATCATATAAATTTCATAATTAGTCTAATACTTGTAGGTACCATTCTCAGTTAAAATAGAAAATTCAAATTAACTTCTCCACGCGTGTTTCGCACGAAAAATTCGCACAATTAAAGGCCGTAACAGAGGAAAACAACGTTTAACTCACATAACGTGACGTTTTATTGTTTTCATGTACGGTCTTCAGTTCATTTGAATTACAGCCGTTTTTAATACACTGGTGGTCCGTTGATTGTAATAAGCTTTACAATTTATAATCTATAAAGATAGATCTATATAATAACACCATTGATTAAACTGTAAACCATTTTCACTAACCTTAGAATATTTAACAAATTTAATGAAAAAATAATAACGTAATTTAAGAAATAAGAAATAATTGTTTTAAAAATTAATTTTTCATCGAAAAAGTTTTTTTGCTTTCAGAC